ACGTTTCTTTTAGAACATCTTGCAAACATCGTTTGACAAGTGCAAACGAATCTGGGATAAAGCCTTCAGATCTTTCATCTCCTTTTCTTCTTCGGTCCATGTATCGGGCATCTTATTGAAACCCAATATCGCCTTGTGTAAATCCATCTGAATGAGAATGTCTCTCATCTTTACTTGCCACAACGGAAATCAGGTGTTACGATCCAGTAGTGGAATATCGTATTTTACCGAAGACATGATTAATTACTTGATAAAATGATCCCAACGAGCTAGTATCACAACCTGGATGCTCTGATACCAATTGTTGTAAAATACGACAGATCCAAATTGACTTAAATAATATTAGCTCAATGCGGAATGGGATCAAAAATTATCAAAGCGTAATAATCACAACGTAATACGAATAAAATAAATAGAATAGAGACACAGGAATTTACGTGGAAACCCAAATCGGGAAAAAAACCACGGGCGGAGGAAGCCGAGAAACAATTCACTATAATTTGCAGTGTTTACAGTGATTATGAAAGAGATTACAAATAGAGTGGGAGAGATAAAATACACGGTGGTGTATCAGTATATATATATGTAATGCTTTTCTATATATACTTCAATGATATTAAACTTCTCTGGCCTAGGCTATTTATAGCCAAGAATATCACACGTGAAGAGAAGAAAAATGTGCCGTCCAAAATTGTAGGCGCCTAATATTTGACCACCGTCCATTCTTCATTCAAATTCACATATATATTACTATAATATTAACCACCGTCCATTCTCATTTCCAAATTCACACTTATATTACTATTCATAGTCAAACTATGAATAGTAAATGATAAGTTACAGAAATAACCCCTGAACTATTTGCCACTTGCTAATTTTGGAGGTAACTTTTCCACACAATGGTTCACCATAATTATAGTGACCTGTTACAGATAAACTAAGACCCCTAAAACAGAGGAAAATGTATTTTAATCTAACTAGGAAACTAAATAAAGTGGATAATCATCCTTATTAAAACTACCATAAATAAAACTTTCATAATCTTAGTTTACTTGCAACTTACTTCCTCCGTCTTTGATACACCCGACCAAATCGTCCAGGCGTATCATTATTGCCCGCCCACACACGCACCTTATCCTCAAGGTGAAAATTTGGAATTGACGATTTATAACAACATAAAATTCCAATGTAGCTTTATATTCGGGAAGATCCAACCAAAGAATTAGAACTTCCTGTCCAACAACTCCTTCTCGAACACCTCCAACAACTCCTTCTCGAACACCTTTCAACTTGACCTATAGTAATACCTCCATATCATCAGTTAAAGTAGCTGGTAATTGAGGGGCTGCCACCCGATTTTCAATGGCCTTGCGTAACTTCGAGATGTGAAAAACATCACGTATACGGCAGGTTGGTGGTAAACGCAACCTGTATGCCACCTTGCCAATTTGCTCGATCGCCTCAAAAGGTCCGAAATATCGTGGGGCTAACTTCTCTTTTCGACGCTTTGCTACCGAATGTTGGTGATAAGGTTTTAATTAAAATAAACCCACTCACCAATAGTAAATTGATCATCTCAGCGATGTGAATATGCTTGTTTCTTCATTACTTGTTGTGCCCCGAACAAATACCCCTTTAACTCTTGTAAAACATGATCCCGCTCTGCTAAATACTCATCAACCGACCCGACCATTGTTTTTTTACTTTGACCATAGTATAATAAATGTGGTGGATCCCTCCCATACAACACCTTAAAAGGTTTGGGTTTTGTCAGTGTACGAAAAGAAGTATTGTACCAATATTCGGCCCAAGGCAACCATTTATTCCACCACTTCAGAGTATCTTGGACAAAGCATCGAAGATAGGCCTCCACACAACGATTTACAACTTCCGTCTGTCTGTCTGTTTACGGATTGGGGGGGGGGTGGTAGGTGATACTTTGCTTGAGATTTGTTCCTTGTAATCGCTATAATTCCCTCCAAAACTGACTTAAAAATACGTTATCGCGATCTGAAACAATTGACTCAGGTATGCCATGCAATCGAACCACCTCCTTCATGAAAGCAACTGCCACCGAAAGGGCTGTATAAGGGTGTTTTAACCGCACAAAGTGAGCGTACTTACTTAATCTGTCGAAAATTACAAAGATAATGGTATACTCGTCCGAACCTGGTAAACCTTCCATGAAATCCATGGTGATTTCAAAATACACCTTTGACGGAAGCTTGCGTGGCTACAGTAACCCACTTGGTGCTAAAGTGGAGAATTTTGTCGTTGACAAGTATCACATTCCGCGACCATTTTTGCGATATCTCCTTCCATACCATACCAAAAAACTTCTCTCGCCATGCGTTGGTATGTCTTTTAAACTCCCTAGTGATCACCGAAAACCCCGTAATGGAACTTCCTAAACAGCTTCGGAATCCAACAAGATGTTCGATTTAACACGAGCCGACCCTTGTACAACAATTTTCCCAAGTCAAGTGTATAACAGGTCGGTAGCAAATTTCCTGTGACCAATTTTTATTTAATTTTAATGATTTCATTTGCCTTTTCGAGGTCCTTCCATAACTCCTCCCAATTAATTTTACACAACGTTGTAAGTTCTTGAAGTTGAATCTCAGGTATTCTTCGTGAAAGTGCGTCTGACACCTTATTTTCTTTTCATGGTCGGTAGATAATGTCAAACGTGTATCCCAATAGTTTCAATAACCACCTTTGATGGTCCTCGATAACCGTGTATTGTTCTAGTAAATACATCAGGCTTCGATGGTTGGTATGGAGTATAAATCGTCGATCCGTACGACTGCCACCTTTGAACCGCGAGCACTATAGCCATGAGTTCACATTCATAAACTGATTTTAATCGGGCCCGAACTCCCAAAACGTGGTTGTAGAAAGCAAGTGGTTTGTCTTATTGCATCAAAACTGCTCCAATGTCGTAACCTGATCCATCCGTTTCTACCACAAAGACTTTGTTAAAATCCGGTAATGGTAGAACTGGTGTTTGCGTCATCGCGTGTTGTAGATTTCGAAATGCTTTTGTCACTTCTTCGGACCATTTGAAACCATCATTCTTCAATTGCTCGGTCAACGGTAAAGCTATTTTTCCATAACCATGTACAAATTTGCAATAGTACCCTGTGAAACCCGAAAATCGTTGGAGCTCGCATAACGTCTTCGGAAGTGGCCATTCCATCATTGTGTTAATTTTGGTGGGGTCGTTCAACACCCCCTTTCCCGAGATGATATGACCCAAATACTCCACCTACGTTTGAGCCAAAAAAACACTTCTTTCGGTTAGCATAAAGATGGTTTTCGTGTAATACCTTGAATACCGTTGCGAGATGCGCCATGTGTTCCGTTGCCGTTTTGCTATTGACTAGTATGTCATCGGAAAATACAGGTACAAAGCGTTGTAATAGTGTCTAAAAAACTTTGTTCATGAGTGTCTGAAAGGGTGTTGGTTAGCCCAAATGGCATCACTAAAAATTCACAGTGGTCATCATGTGTTCGAAATGCTGTTTTGGGCACATCTTTTGATTTCATTCGGATCTAATGGTAGCCGGTCTTTAGATCAATTTTAGAAAACATTATGGCACCGTAAAGATCGTCTAAAAGTTTGTCTATCATGTTTATCGAAAATTTATCTAAAATCGTGGCTTTGTTTATGGCTCAGTAATCTAAGCGAAACCTACAGCTTTCATCTTTCTTTTTGACCAATAATACGAAATTAGAAAAATGACTCGTGCTTCGTTGGATGATGCCCACATGTAACATTTCTTGCACCGGTTTTTCAATCTTGTCTTTTTGCGCGAATGGGTAATAGTAGGTTCTTACACTAATCAGGGTTGTACCCTCTTTCAAGATAATTGTGTGCTCATGGCTGCGAGATGGGGGAAGACCGTCCGACATCTCCAATATGTCGTGATACTCGTCGACCACGGCTTGGAATTCCGTGGGAACTTAGGGTGATGTTGCGGTTATTTTTTCTATCGAATTGAAGTGTAATAGAAAACAAGTGCTTTCATGTTTTAGTATTCGGACCAGAGACTTACATGATACTAACAGCTTAGATAGACTTAGGTCACCCATAAGGGTGACTTGACGATATCCTTCACGGAACGTCATTCGTAGATCGCGCCAATTAATGGTCATATCTCCTAGAGTTCGAATCCATTTAATTCCAAGGATGACGTCTGAACTTCCAACTTGTAACGGGTAGAAATCTTCTAATACTTGACATTGGGGTAGGGTAAGCATAACCCTTTTGCACGTTCTTAAGCTTTGATCTATCATCCTGTTACCCAAACGTATCCTCACAGATCCCGTACTAGATATTGCCAAACCGAAAAGCTCCACCACCTGTTTTGACAGAGAGTCATGGGTTGGGTCGGAATCGATTAGAATGACTACTTCTATTCCTCCACTGACGCCTTTGAGCTTATTGTTTTGTGGTGATGTAAGATCGGTAACTAAACTCAGAGATACCTCCACCATGTCGAGGTGGGCATGGTCCGAGTTTTCCTCCTCTCCTTCACTTGTATCATAGTCTATTACCAGTACCTGTAATGTTATGCTTCAACAATGGTGTTTGGGTGTGAACTTCCCATCACATCAGAATCATATCCTCTTCGCCCATTTTTCTGTCAATTCTGCTTCCGTCAGTCGTTTGACCATACCTCTCGTGTTTTTTGTGTTTTTCTTGTCTCCTTCTTTAGGTGTTGTAATAGGTGTGTCTGTGAAACTTGGCTTTGTTGTTCCCCCAGACCCACTTGGAGTCGGATACGAGTTGCCCCGAACTTTGGTAACCACAGTGGTTTTGTTTTCGATAATCTTAACCGCCACCCTCATTGCTTTAGCTAGGCTTTCAGGTTTTAAGTTTTTTTTATTGTCGATTGGAGGTCCAATTTTAACCCTTTAATGAAAGTTCTCTCCAAAATATTCTCAGGTATGTCAAGAAGTTGTTCGGCTAGGCTTTCAAATTTGCTGACGTATTATCACGCGGTTCCTACTTGTTGAATGTTCAAGAATTGATCACACACGCTACCTTCTTGTGACTCTTGAAAGCGATCCAGTAGCTTGCATTTGAATGTTTCCCATGAACGACATGGGGTCTTGAGCTCATTCCAGCGATACCATGCAAGTGTTGCTCCCTCCATATAGATTACAACTGCCCGAAATCGATCTTTTTCTCCAATGTCGTGAATCTCAAAGTACCTTTCAATCCGATAAATCCAGTCGTAAACATCATCTCCTTCAAATATTGGCATGTTGATCTTGCGAAAGTCATGCAACGGGTCCCTGGGTTTGCCTCCAACATTCCTTTTTTGTGAGCCTACTGATTCTTCCTCCACATCCTCATCATCCAAGAATGATCCAAACTCGATTTTTGGTTCCTTTTCTTTCTTTTTTCCTCCTTTATTCGAGCTTTCCTTGTTGAAAACAAGTGATACCAATTAATTCGACTCACAATATCTGATACTTTTATTCAAGAACAAAGGGGCTTTTATAGCCATTACAAAACAGAAAGAACGAGAAAGTCTCAAAACATAACAAATTTAATATATATCCCTAATTCTTGTTCAACACGAAGAAGAAGGGAACGAACTGCTATTTCGGATTACTAAGTCATACTGACTCTTGGCTTTGGGCCTTATTTCATACACAACCTAAAACGTGGGCTAACCCAAAAACATTGAGATTGGCCCAATAAATTCCTTCCCTTAAACAGGTAAGCGTTGAGCTTCATGTTTAACATCTTTCACTCCAGTTTCTTCTCTGATGAATTCAAATGCAGCTAAAGTCAATGGCTTGGTCATCATGTCTGCTAGCTGCTTCTTTATGCTACAAAACTTTAGTTGTATAATGTCTTTGTTCACTAATTCTTTGATATAGTGAAAACGGACATCTATATGCTTTGTTCTTCTATGCATTACCGGATTCTTTGATAGCTTTATGGTTGAACAATTGTCACACATAACCTCCATAGTACCTGCCTTTTCTTCAAGTTCTTCAAGAAGACCTTTCAACCATACACAATGACATGCGCATGTTGTAGCTGCAACATATTCTGCTTCTGTTGATGATAAAGTGACAACTTCTTGTTTTATAGAACTCCAACATATTGCAGCTCCACTGAGTAAACATACATATCCAAAGGTACTTTTCCGGTCCTCTAAATCACGTGCATAATTGCTGTCAGTAAACACTTTTAATTTCTGACTTTGATCCTTCCCATAGTGTATCCCATAGTTCATAGCCCCCTTTATATACCTCAAAACTCGTTTTGCCACTGCCATGTGTTCCTCCTTCGGTTTTGCCATAAATCTTGCTAGCAAGCTGACTACATACATCAAATCTGGACGTGTCACAGTCAAATACATGAGACTACCTATAAGACTCATATTTTTGGTGTTGTCAACATCCTTCCCTGCTGCTAATTTCATAAGTTTGGTACCTGGGATAACTGGATTCTTCACACCATTTGCTTCCCTCATCTTAAATCTTTTTAAGACTTCTTTTGCATATTGTGATTGACACAAAGTAATACCTTCTGAATTCTGGTTCACTTCTACTCCAAGAAAGTACTTTATTTGCCCCAGATCTGTCATCTCAAATTCTTGTTGCATAGAACTTTTGAATGATTTACATAATGTATGATCATTTCCAGCATAGATTAAATCATCAACATATAAGCTAGCGAAAATGATTTTATCCTGTTCCTTCTTCACAAATAGAGTATGATCATAGCTGCTTTTCTTGAAACCTTCAAACAAAAAATAACCTTCAATTTGATTAAACCAAGCTCGAGGCGCTTGTTTTAATCCATACAGTGCATGGTTCAGCATGTACACCTTTGTTTCTTCTCCTTTCTTGATGCACCCCTTTTGTTGAGTGACATGTACCACCTCCTTGAGCTCGCCATTCAAGAAGGCGCTTTTAACATCTAGTTGGTACACTGTCCACTTTCTTTGAGCCGCCATTGCTATTAGGGTTCTGATTGTGTCCCAACGGGCTACTGGGGCAAACACTTCATTGTAATATATTCCTTCCCGTTGGGCATATCCCTTTACTACTAATATTGCTTTGTATTTTTCAACCTTTCCAAGTTCGTTAATTTTTGTCTTGAATTCCCATTTTACCCCTATAGGCTTGGTTCCAGGTGGAGGATCAACCAATTTCTAGGTATTGTTTCTTTCTATGGCGGTCATTTCATCATTCATTGCTTGTATCCACTTTTCTTCTTTACATGCTTCTTCGTATGTTATTGGATCATCCATTGCACTATACATTGCAAAACCAACTTCATCTTCATTTAACATGTCCTCTGTCACGTGGTAGTCATTCGTCCATGCAGGTGCTCGTCGAATGCGACCAGGTGGTGTGTTTTTATTCTGTGAATTTTCGAGGCAAGCGAAACTGAGCTGTTAGAATTTTCACATGAATTTTCAGGTTGAGATGTACCTTGAACTGGAGAGACCGATTCTTCTTCAGATG